CACCTTGGACTCAGGAGATCACGGAAGCAGCAGTCTTGGAGGAAGTGATGTCGAGGCTGAGATGAACAGAAGTTAGCTAGCACATAGGAGTGAGCGGTGGAATAGCAGAGAAGAAAATTTCAGGCAGAGAATAGGATGTACCTTTTCTGGGACAATGAAAGTAAACATTTACTTACTTTTGTTTTCAGAGTTGCCTATCCAGTGGTTTGTAATCTGCTAGCATACCTCTGCCACCAGGGTAACAGATACCTCAGATCAGGTTTTTAAAAATTGTGGCTAGTGGGACCAGCAGGTGGCATGGTTGTTAAGGTGCTGGACACTCCCACATGATCGACCACGGTTCGAGTCCTGGACCTGGTAACTTGCTTTCTCACTTTCTCTCTCTCTCTTTCTGTGGATAAATAATATTAAATAAATAATTCTTTTAAAAAATAGCTACTGGTTTTTCAGTTCTGGAAGGTCTACAAACTTATAATGCGACAACCATTTCTAAGCATTATTTGGTATTTAAAAAATAAACTATTTTATATTAGAAAAATTTAGATCATTTTGATTTTAATTGTATTTTCAAATAATTTCAAACTTATAGAAAATTTCCAAGAACAGTGAAACTCTCCCCTCCCAAAACTCCTATGTATTTTAAAAGTATCTTATCAGTTTTTAGCATCCTACTACATTTGCTTTGTCCATTTGTTTTTATGTACCTATATATATCCAAACACCCTTCTTCTTGTCTTCCTTCTCATTACTATTGCTATTGCTATTTTTGCCAAATGGTTTCAGACATTATTCTTTCTACTCCTAAATACTTTAGTAGGTATCTGCTAAACAATGACATTCTCTTACCAGACCCCAGTACAATGATCTAAGTCAGGAAACTAACATCGACACTACACTACTATCTAATACGTAGTCTGTATTTGAATTTCACCAATTGTCCTTTACATTTTCCTGGTTAGAGAGCCAGTCTAGGATCATCTCTTGCCTTTAGTTATGATGTCTCTTTGGCCTCCTTTAACCTGTACTAGTGCTTCAGCCTCTGTCTTCATATTGGTAATATTTTTAAAGAGTACAACTCAGTTGTTTTTCACAATGTCCCTTATTGTGGGTTTGTGTGATATTTCTGCATGATTCAGTTTATGTATTTTTCGTAAGTATGTGATATTGTAGCTTTTTTCAGGAGAATATATATGGAGACTCACGTCAGTGTGTCTCAAAACTTTTATTTCATTTTTAGTGTATTTTAGGCTGTAACAAAAACATACAAGTGTGTTTTCTATTCTAATTTTATCACAAAGAAGATGAATAATGAGCTAACCTGTCCCAGGTTTGAATGCAGACCTCTGTGTTTAGTCTCTCTTGCCATCTCAGTATATATTTGGATTTCTCATAAATGTAAGGTTGTAGCTGTGTGTGGTCTTTTAAAAAGGTTGAATCCCTAGCAAAATACCAATAACATTCTTCACAGAAATAGAAATAAACAATCCTACAATTTTTATAAGACCACAAATAGCCAAGTAGTCCACAAATATCCAAATAAGTATTGAGAAAAGAGAATAAAACTGAAGGTATTCCACTTCCTGAATTCAAAATTTACTACAAAACTGTAGTAAGCAAACAGCATGGTACTGGCAAAAAGAAAAAGAAAAAAAAAAACAGACAAAATAGACTAATGAAAAAGTACAGAGAGAGCCCAGAAATAAATCCATGCATTTATAGTCAACTGCTTTTTGACAAGGTTCCAAGAACACAGAATGGAGAAAGGAAAGTCTCTTCAACAAATGGTGCTATGAAAACTAGATATCCACGTGCAGAAGAAGGAAAATGCAATCTTATATTTCACTATACACAAGAGTCAACTGAGAAAGATTAAATGTAAGGCCCAAAACTATTAAACTACTAGGGGAAAAAACCACAGAATAAAAGCTTTGTGATTGTTCTAGGCAGTAATTTTTTTGGCGGGGGGGGGGTTATGATACCTAAAGCACAAGCAACAAAAGAAAAATTAGGTGAATTGAATTATACTAAACTATAAAACTGCACAACAAAGTAACAAAGCAAACAAGCAATAGAGTAATGAGATACCCTACAGAACGAGAGAAAATATTTGCAAACTATACTTCTGATAAGAGGTTTATATCCAAAATATACAAGAAAAAAAATAAAAATAAAAAAGGTTGAATGTGAAATTGCTCAAAAGATGAATTGCTGTTTAGCTATGCGAATCAGAATTTCTTTGATATAGTACAACCAAAACAAATACAAAAGTAAATTGAAATCCTGGTGTTGATTTAAAACAGCATAGAGCCCCATGGACAGATTTGGGTTCATCAAGAGTTTTGTTTTATTTTAATGTTTGGTTTTATACTAATGTGGGCTTATAAAATAAATTAATAAAATGCCCTCTGCATTGGGACCAGCAGTTGGTGTAATGGCTATGTTGCTGGACTCCCATGTAGTCGACCACAGTTTGAGTCCCAGACCCGGTGGCTTAAACTCACGCCAGGTGCGTGTGCGTGCCCAAGATCCTGAGAGGAGAATGGAGGAGAAGGGATTGCAGCGTGGCCATCCCCCAGGGGGTGATTTCTTGCTTTCTGTCTCTCTGTCTCTCTCTGTCTTTCTGGTGAGCGCATGCGCCCTTTAACAAAAACCTCTCCAGAAAACAAAACAAAAACAAAACAAAACAAAACAAAACTCTGCATTTGTTGTGTGTGTATGTTGGTCTTCTGTACAAGATATTAAAACGAGAGTTCTCTTCCTTCAGTCATTTGAAATTGTATCTCACTATAGCTCCTGTCCACTGTACAATTCTGTAACCCTTTCATCATTGGCAGACCTTGATATTATTTGGAGCCTGGGATTTCACCTTAATCCTTAACAAACCCAGGGCTCAGGATTTGTTAAGAATACACATACATGCACTTACCAATGGTTTTGGAGTTATATGGTCCTTAGTTTCTCCAAAGAGCACACAAATTGATACTTCATTCTTTCCTTTTCTGGAATGCAGTTCTGCTTACGTTAAACCACACACACACACACACACACACACACACACAGTTTAGGAATGCAACTGTGCCCTGTGCAATCACTTGCTTAACCAGTGACCAACCCACACAAATGACCCAAGCAAAAGGCAGTCCTACCTTGGAAGTGTCTAGCCTAGAGCTCGTATTCTACACATGGACACTGAGATCCAGACACACATCTTCTGAAGAAGGAGAGCTGCTAATGGCAATCAGACTGCAACCCAGCTCTCTCTGTGCCAGTGCTTGGGAGATGCTCCCTTGGGAGGTGATCAAGCTGTCTTCCTCTCTCTTGGCAAGTGTGGGCTGTTGGCAACTGAAGCAAGCTTTGAGTGAGGTCCTTGTCTTATTTCAAATTCAGCTACAGAGTTGAAGCCTAGCCAGGTCCTTGGAGTGCTCTAGATTTCCTGGTTGATTTTGCAATAGAAGATAGTCCTAACAGAAACACGGGATGAAAGAGGTGCAGAAGCCTTAGAAAGTCATTTATAATGTATTTCTATTGAGAAAATGTGTTCTAACTCGTAAAAGAATTTTCCACGCTCAACCAATATGTCTATAAATTGGAGAACACAGGTAATTCGTTCCATTCCTTCGAACCAGCATGGATTTCATGTTTATATGTGCAAGTAGTACAATAGCTGCTTGGTACACACCAAAAAGGACATCAAGAAGTTCATGACATGATCCTGTGCTCAAGAAACCTATAATAATCCTGAGAGGTGATACATACACATATGAAGAACTTAATCATAATAAGAGGGAATGTTTGATGGCATGCACAAATGAGCGAAAGGTACAAGAGACCTTTGGAGAACAGAGGCTGTTGGCCGTGCCTGAGCTGGGGCTCCTAAGTCAAATTGTTATAGTCGACACAGTGGGAAATAAGAGGACAGATACAGTCAAATTTATTGGAGTTTTATTGATTAAGCAGGAAGGGTAGGGAGTAGGGGCTTGCAATGCAGAAGCAGTTTACAGAAGCTAAACAAGCAGGTTAATCATTCCTAAGGATATGTTCCACCCCTACCTAAACACAACGGAATCTTAATGTCTTCATGGCTCAGGGCAAGGGGTCTGGTGACATGATTACATCACTAAGGAACATCTTAGCGTAGGGAGCTTCGGGTTATTTAGCAAAGACAGTAGGAATGTTAATCACTCTGTTTACTCCAGGCAAAAGGAAAAAGCAAGTTTCCAATATGGAGAGGAGTTCAAAATGGAGAGCCACTTCAAAATGATCTGCGTGAAATTGCAGCTCATTCACTTGGTAGCGATGTGGCAAGTTACTTCAGTTTTCTAAATCCCTTAGAACAGCTTTGGGCACTTCCCGTGTGCCCGCCAACCCCCATGTTAGCTTGCTTTTCTTCGTGCTACTATATTACCATCTCAGTCTGTGCTTGACCCGCCACTTTGAGGATGGGTAAACAGCGAGCAGAGTGGGTTTCCCAGTAGGGTACCAAATGGTTAAGGGCGCTGAACTCCCACATGGCCAACCACGGTTGGAGTCCTAAACCTGGTGGCTTGCTTTCTCATTTCCTCTCTCTCTCCCTCTGTCTTCTCTGGTCACATTAAAATAAGTAAATAAATGAAGTTAAATAAAATAATTCTTCCTAAAAAAAATCTTGGCGAAAAGCTCCACTACTTCTGTAACTTTGGTGGCATCTACCAAGCACCAGAGGCGGCTGCCATCCTGGACACCCGAGTCCACCTTCTGCTACGTCGCAGCTCGCCGCCGCCCCAATCCCAGCGCCTGTCCC